AAAATTTTTGGGGGGAACCCAAACGCAAAAAAAAAAGGGAACGAAAAAAAAACCCCCACACCCAAAACCCCTTTTTCCCCCCCCCCCCCCCCCCCCCCCCCCCCTCCTCACTCTCAGAACGGGGCACAGCACACGGTAGCCTCTTTGCTTGGGCTTGGGCTCTCGGTCTGGTTCGCGAGGGCCGTTAGCGTCGGGGGCTCCGCGTCTGGATCGCGCGTCTGGGGGTGGTACGCGGTCCTCACCCTGGTCCACCTGCTGGCGAACTACGCGGCAATGAGGACCCTAGCCCTGCGGTCTCTAAATCCGACGCGGGCTTCGCTCTTGGTCACGGAGTACCTAGGCCAGGTGCGAGAGGGCGCCGCGTATGTACGTGGAGGCGTGTGGGTTTGGGGATCGGGGGCAGAGGATGGCGCAGGGTATGGTGTTGCGGGGTGGGGCGGGTGTCAATGGCGCTTGGTTGTTCTGGTTCCAAGGGAATTGCTTTTTGTTGGTTCCCTTAGTCAATTGCCCGGTGGGCTTCCTAGGTGGTGGCTTTTGGACGTTGCTGTTGCCAGTTGACGCTTTTGCTGCCAGGCGTGGCGTACACCTGTAGGAAGCTTCGCGTTTCGGGCGGCTGCGGCTATGACGTGCGCACGTATTGCGCCAAGCACACCAATTGCGCTGAATTTCCCACCATGGTTTCTTTTCGCTCTTACAACTTCATCGCTGCTTGCAACCTTTGTGAGAATTGGTAGTGGGGGCGGGAAGGTTTGGGCAATTACGGTCCCAATGTCGTTTTACACAGCTATTGTAAATAGTGCCCGCGTTGTCTGCAGGCCCGCAGGACTGTTAGGTCTCGACCAATCCGCGTCGGGCATGTCGAATTGCCGCTGCCGTTGTCCCCTATTTTGCTTTGTCTGCACAATTCGCGTCTCGTGCTTCTTCTGCGCTTACCGGTGCCCTTAACGGGGGGTTGTCACGTCATCGGCGGTGGCGTGTTGGGCGCGAAGGCCTTGGGGTCTACGGAAGGCCGCAGTGGCACACGAGGAAGCGAGCAAGACGAAGATGACGGGGAAGAAGAAAATGAACAGCGAGAGGAGAAAGAGGAAGGGGGAGAGGAGAGAAAGGGTCCGGCGTTAGACTGGATGGGGAGAATAAGAGACCAAGGGTCTCCGCCAGAGTCGGTGGCGGTGCTTTCGCCCTTTGCCGCCGCGAGGCGGGAGAGAATACTCGTGCTTCCCGGGTGGTTCCGGGCCTTGAAGCCGTGGGGAGACTTCCTGCAGGTGACGAGACTGCTGTGATATGAAAATTCAGTCATTGTCAATAAATGGTATTTAGCAGTTTAGACTGTGATATGAATATTTCAGTGATTGTCACTAAATGATATTTAGCAGTTTAGACTGTGATATGAATATTTCCCGATTTTTCGTTCTGTTTGGAATTCGTTGAGACCATGATTTCTCGGGTGTACAGTAGTCCCCCGTAGACATCTCGGCTGTTCGTGTTTTCTGTCAGAATGTCGGGCTCGGCATGTTGCGGAGGGGTCAGGACGAGAGCAATGGTGACGTCACCTTGTTGACGCGCGTGCATGATAATGTCTTCGGGAGGACGTCCCACGTTTGCGAGGAAAACCCCGCCCCCCTGGTCGGAACGTGGGTGTGGTTCACTCCACCGTGGCTGTATTGCTTCGTACTACAGGGAACGAAGAGTACGTTGTCATATAATCATATAATAGGGTATAGATGGCCGCTCAGACAGTTCGGGTTATGACGCCGCAGATGGGAAAGTGAGTGGCTTCAACAACGATTTCATGCGTACCATCATATTTGGAAAGACCGATGCGAATGCGTGCTGAGTGTGAGCTTGGTTGGGTCCACGCCGGCGCTCGGCACGTTCTAGGGCGCAAGGACTCTTGTTTATTTTGACAGTCTTACCACTGGCTCTGTGTTCGTATTCGTACCTTTGCAAACTGTCTTTGAGTCGTGAGACCTGATTCGGATGAAGAGATCCGTAAACCCTCTTGCACGACGTGCCCGTAAGGTTAACGTTATGTCGTTGCGTGCTTGCGTTGTTGTCAGATACACGTGGGGGTACCGGTCAGAGCGCTGGTAGGTGAGGCCGACGACTTGCTCTGGCTGACGTCGCTGTACCACGATGAGAGGTCCATGGTGGGGGTCCAGGTGTCCTACAAGCCACTAGGAGCGAGGTGAGTGTCATCTAACGGAGCGTCAGCGAGGCGTGACGTCTCGTGGCCGTCGAACATTCATTTTTTAACGGTTGTTGTTGTTTTGTGAACGACGTTTGCATACATTAAGGAGCGAGGTGAGCCTTTTTCTTGCGTTCGCGGTAAGTGAAACGCTCCCTCCTGAACCCTAAGACATAAAAAACGTGCATTGTAAAGCTCAACGTGTAGGTGTCCTTCAAGTCACCAGAGGAAGTGCGGTGGTCGCACAAACAGTCCCGTGAACAGTCCTGATGAAATCAAGTAGGACACGAGTGAAACATGCAGGTCAGGCGGCAAAGCATAGGTCGTGTCGAAACTGAGCTCATGTCTTCGATCCTAGCCATGAACGCAAAGCCGCCTTGCCAGCACCGCATTCGAAGTGACGTGAGCTTTAGTGTGGGGTCTTCAAGATTTTAATGTTGGCTGCTCAAATATCTTAACTGCCTTTCTATTTTGAGGTTGCTGCCGGTTCTGCACCAAGGGTTTGCGGAGTGAATTGAACGTCAAAAGGCTCGTAAGACAAGGCGTCTACGTGCATCGGCCCTCACAATACACGTTGTTTCTTCGGCGCCGTTGCTTTGGCGGACACAATCAGGATGGAGACGACGGTTAATCTTGCCCTTCGAGAAGACGCCTCTCCAGAGGACCGGTTGCACGCTATGTTCCAGGTTCGTCGTTAGTGTTGTTGCTGCTGTTGCTGCTGTCTCCTTTGTTTTTTATTGCCTACTTTTTTGTTGTTTTTGCGCCTGCACGAAGATGCTGAAATACGTCCAAACGGCCACGCGCATACCCGGGTTATTTGTTGCTGTTGTCGCCGCTTCACTTTCATGCCTGTGTTCTGTGCGAAGTATCCAGAGAGCTCACCTCCTGCGTGGCCAACACCGGACGTCCTTCACGCTCACCATCCATGCACCTACCTCGCCCGCGCGAACGTGTCAGTTGTCACTCGCTATCCTTTGTTGGTCGTTGTTTCTTTCATAGTTGAACGTTTCACGCCCTGAAGATACTGGTAGAACCAGTTCGAGATCCACGCACAGCGCGTGGCATGTGCTATCGTTAGATTTGTTTTTTTCGGATCGAAGCGGCCGAGCTCCGTTTTCACCGTACCTAGACTGACTACCAACCAATGATTCACCTCGTTCATTTGCTGCTGTATGTGGCTTACAGGTAGTGTAAACAAATAAGCACCTCTTGTATACGTTGCTGTACTTTGTCTTACGGCCAACAACAAAATGATGCACCTCTTGTGTTCGTTGCCGTACTGTGTGTTACGGCTATCAACAAATGGTGCACATGTTGATACGCTACATACGCTGCAATGCTTTGTGATACCGCTATCAACAAATGATGCACCTCTTCTCTATAGATTGTCGTAGGCTTCGCCACGACTGCTTCCCCAATTGCTAATACCATCGGCGATTCTGCACCCCATTCGTGGGGCCTCATGGCGATTTGGCGACAAAAAGCATTCAAACAGCAAGCCAAACTCTGCCAAACGACTGGCGAGACTTTTAGTCTAAAATGCTAAAAAAAACAAAAAAATACACAGACAGATGCAGAGATAAAAATGCATGTAGTAAAATCGCGAAGAAGAATACGTGTAGGAATAACATTCATTGACTAGTGCTTGGTCTTCTTGTTTGAACCGTTGAATTTGGCCTGCTTGGCCTCGCGCTTCTTAATAGCCTCAGGCTGGCACCCCATGAGCTTGTCCGTCCGGCCTTGCACGAAGCAAGGCTCGCAAACTTTCTGAAAAACGGAGGAAAGAGGATTTGGGAAGAAAAGCGGCGGGAATAAGGAGAAAAAAGGAAGACGTAAAGCGAAGAAAGACTGTTGTAAGCAGGATACAAAAGAAAAAAAAGAAAAGAGCGGAATCGACGAAAAAGAAGCACCAATGAAAGTAAAGACATTGAAAGGAGAGCGCTGAAAGGAAGCACGCAACGAAGTAGGAGAAAAGGATACAAAAAAAACCAAACCATAAATACTCAACTGCTGTCGAACGTAGAAGGAAGTTGAAAAGAAGGCTGCAGAGAATGGGAAGAAAGTGAGGGGAAACTGACCTTGTCGCTGTTATTTTTCGTGCTTCCGCGAATAGCCCTGACAGAAACCCCAATTTGACAATTGGGGAATGTTGAAATGCTGTGTCTTACCGATAGCAGCGAAATGATGCACCTCTTGTATGCGTTGCTGTGCTTTGTCTTACGGCTAGCAACAGATGGCGCACCTCTTGTACTCGTCTTGTATTCGTACTGTGTGTTACCGCTATCAACAAACCGCCAGCAATAGCTGGCGCCTCTTGAATAGGTTGCCGAAAATTTCCCGACCGTGATGGTGTATCCGCACGTCCTTCTACAACATTGTATTCTACAACATTGTTTTTACAACATTTGCAACATTGTTGTTACATCATTGTATGTATTCAAAATTGTGGACAATGTCAGGCGAACGTAATCCAACACCTGGTGGTGAGAGACCCGGACGGCATTCCGCACGGGGAGGACGGGGTCGACCGCACCCTGTTCCTGCGCAAGGTTACCGAAGAGGCACTACGCGTGACAAGGTGCGGGTGCAGACACCGTGGATACAGCGGTAGGGGTGACAATGGACACGTTGGGCGGGGGTGTAGACTGGTGGATGCTGCGGCGGGCATGACAAGGTGCTCGTGTGGACACGTGGATGCAGTAGGCGTTGGGCGTAGTCGTTCCCATTCGATTCAAAATGGACCCACCAGGGTGCAGCATTTCCGCCCGTCCTGATATTTTTGTCGGTTGACACCCTCGTGGTCTTGTGACGGCCATGGTCCGGGTTCGATTCTCGGCGGAGTGAAACGTGTCCAGCTGAAGGGGACAGACTGTACCGGCGGCTTACACAGTAAATCCACAGCGCTAACCGTCCCTGGTTTATTTTCTCTCGGTCCCTAGTTTGCCTTTCTCTTTGTTCCTGGTTTGGTTTTCTCTCGGCGCAACCGGCTAGGCCTGAAATGGGGCGTGATGATCTAGCCGACCTGCTTGGCGGAGCTTGCCGCCGCGGGGAAGTCGACCTTGTGCGACCCCGGCACAACCCATACGATAGTCGTGGCTGCTGCAGCTGGGGTGGTGGTGGTGGGAGTGGCGTGGCTGCTGTGGCTCGCGCCGTTTCCCATGGCACCTCACCGCTCTAAGACGCAGTCTCACAACTGCTCGCCACCAGCTTGTTGACCGGCGATCTCAAGTCACTCACTTAAACGTAGCCAAGAAGGGATGGATTGCTTGGGGCATTTGTGGCGGGCATCTGCCTGACCGTCCTTGAACCACGCAAACCTTCCTTCTGTTCCTATCGCTCTCTGCATCTCCCCCCTTCTGCCCGCGTTGCTTTCGGTCGTGCGCTCTCTTTCTCCTATTTTTTCTGACACACGGCATAAACGAACAATTCAACCTCCCCCCGATGCGCGCGCGACATACAGAAAGGAGTTCCCAGCCTTCCGCAAGGCGCTGGTTCGGGAGGGGTGGGACCTGTCTCGCGTGACCTTGGGAGGGGGGCCATGGGTGGGGCGGTGGGGGTCGCTGGCGAAGGAAGATTGATAGGCCAGCTCCGGCCAAGATCGGGGTGAATGTCTAGGTGTATCTTGTTTGATTGTCCGCCCGGAAAGAGGCGCGAAGTTTCTTGACGGCGGAGGGGGGAAAGGGGTCTCTCCGAAGGAGAATGAAGCCGGTGGAGATGAGGAGAGAAATCACCGGCAACGCGTTTTTTAGAGAAAAATTAGTATATATTCGAGGTTTTGTAGTAAGCAGAATATTGCGGGATCCGGGATGAACAACGTCGTATCTAGGTGTTGCCGTTGATGGGTTAGCTAGGGTTTTAGGGGGGGCGTGAAGGGGTTCGATGTGACCACCGCTTTGGCATTGCCAAAGATCATTGCCTTAGGCAGCAAGCAGTAACGAAGGACCGAACGATGGGCGCAGGAATGATGTCGTTTTTTCTCCCCAGATGCTGCGTACCGGCGAATGGGATAGGGCGATTTTTCCTCGGTTGGTGTCTCTATTCACGCGGGGCATTCGGACCCGTCATCGCTGGCTGGATTCACGGTTGATCCCTTTCACTGTTTCATGTTCGGGATTTGTGTGTGTGCGTAGGGCTACGGTAATCGTGTGAAGAGCGGGGCGATCGTGGGGGCAAGATGGCAATAAATTCTTGGAGGAAACTCAGGGGTGCACGAAGTCCCTTTGTTGTGTTGAACCCGTAACAAACGAAAATAACGGAACGGTAAATTTACCGTCGGATCGTGCGAGCACATGCCACAACGGCCTGCTCGAGAAGTCTTTACACTATGCGTTCATTTTTTGTCCCACCGCCGACGTCGCGGGCCAACCAGCGACCTGACCAACAATCTGGTTACTACGTGACGTGACCATATTTGTCGTTTTCTGTACCAAGGTATGCCGCCGGGGACAAACGAGCGGGTTACCGGGGTATCCTAAACACATGTTTGACCCATGGCGCTGGTAGTGGGGGGGGTCCATGTGGCGAAGAAACCGCTATAAATCGGGCTACGAGGACACATACACACACACACTCCCCATTTACCACAGGCACTGGTAGGGGAAAGGGGCTCTGCAAGATAGATTTGGCGATCCCCCCAGGACTACACGCAGGAGATAAAGAAGAGGAACCCTGCACCAAGTCCATTCTTGTAGGTGTCACAATCGTCAACCCATCTGCGAGTCGAAGCATCGACAAGTCGATCCAGACACCAGGATCCGCCCTCGAGATCGAGCTGTACGTGAGGAAAATCACTCTGCGGGAACTTTCAACCGGTTTAGACCTACCTTCCTTTCTGCTATTTTTTCAACCTATGGTGGTCTTGGCAAAGGCACCAATTGACTAATCGTAGCTATCGCCAACCATTGACGACGAAACAGCCTTGCTTCGCCTGAAGGCTTACCATGCCAAAAGGATTCGAGGACGGCTTTACCTTCAAGCTGACTCGTTTTCTGTCGGAATGCATACGAACTCGTGATGTTTTCAAACGTCATGGACTACTGATGCCCGCCGCGGTGCCCTCGGGGTACCTCTCCTACGGATCGGCGTCGGCGTCGGCCAATGCGGCTGCGGCGACGACTGCGGCAACGGCGGTGATGCTCCCCCCCGCATCTACTTGGCAGCTCTTCGGAGTAGCCAACTCGCTGCCATTCCTGTTCCAGGTGCAGGCCATCGCCCGTGACGACATGGACGTCGACCAGTCCAAGGTCGAGTGGATTTCTGCAGCCAAGGCGATGATGGCTCACGCCTGGGCGACGCCCAGGCGAAGCTGAGCCTCACGGTCAGGGCCATGGCCAAGGCCGAGGAAGAGGCACGAGTGCTTCAAAATGTCATTGCGGCTGCGTACCTTGCGCGTGCGTTGGCGGCGATGGAGGAGCTACGGGAGGCGGAGTGGGCGGCCAACCAGATGGACGACGATGACGACGAGTACGGAGGGCCGTTGCCGATGGAGGTGGACAGCTAGGAGATTATGGATTGAGGCTGGAGAGAGCGAAAGCCCCTCTCTCTCCGCGGGACCACTCGTCGCTCAGCAACATGTGAAGGTCAAAGTCAGGGAACATGGTGACTTTGTACATGCAGAAGCACGATTTGGCAGTGTGAGGCTTCGAGACGATGCGATCATCTGTAAGAGAGCGCTTCTGTGCGGAGAAAGAACAGTTACCACTGCTGCAATAATACGTGGCACCTCTCCCGCAGTAAACGCCTCATGATGTACTATCATCATCACCGACCCAAGGTTCCGAACGGCCCTTTTCTCAATCCCGAGTCGTTGTTGTCATCAACATGTCGGCCGTGGCAAGCGCCAAGCCCCCGAATACTCCGCCGCAAAATTCGTGGCACAAAGCACGTGAGAAAGCGGGCGTTCAATGGGTCCCCGGCCACGCCCAGCAAGTCCAGCAATACCACCAACCCGCCGATTTTGTCCTCGCCGAGCATGCACAAGGGAGGCGGGACGAGCGGGATACCAGCGGCGCGCACGTCAGCGTCGAGGTCGGCCGTGGGGCCGGCGGCGATGGCTGTGACTGGGGCGACGGCAGCGATGCCGCCGGCCGTCGCCTCGCTTCCAAGCGGCGGCGGCAGTGATGCCCACCGCGGTGCCGTCGGGGTACATCTCCTACGGGTTGGAGGCGGTGGCAGTCAATGCGGCTGTTGCGGCTGATGCTGCGGCCGCAGCGGCGACGGGCGCGATGCCCCCCCCCGCGCCTACCGCCAGGCTCTTCGGAGCAGCCAGCTCGTTGTCAACCGTGTTCCGGACGCAGGAACTCGCCCGAAATGACATGGACGTCGACCCGTCCAAGCGCGAGAGCATATCGACGGCAACAGCGATGATGGCTCATCTCCTTGGCGTCGGTCGCCCA